CATCAGAAATCTGCTCCTTGGTGGCAATGTGCTGCAGTTGAATAATTCCATGGGCCACTTTTTCCCTGATAAGATGACAATCAATCTGTATATGTTTTGTTCTTTCATGAATCACAGAGTTAGTGGCTATGGCAATAACAAATTTGCTATCAGAGTATAAAGTAACAGGTGAAGAATGAGGAATTTTGAAATCATCAAAGAGATATAGCAGCCATTGAATTTCACAAGTAGTGGATGCAATGGCTCTATATTCAGCTTCAGCTGAAGATCTGCTAATAGTGTTTTGTTTCTTAGACTTCCAAGAAATAAGAGATTTTCCCAAAAAAAATAGAAAAACCTGTGATACTTCTTCTTGTTGAAATACAGGAAGCCCAGTCACTATCACAATAGGCAGAAACATAAGGCTGAAGATCTATCAAATAAAATGCCCTTACCCACTGTACCTTTGATGTATCTGAGCACTCTGTGAGCAGCATTAAGGTGATGAACTAATGGTTTAGACAAAAACTGACTCAAAGTTTGAACACTATATGCAATGTCAGGCCTTGATATGGTTAAATATAAAAGCCTACCAATCAATCTTCTATATGTGGTGGGATCTGTTAAAATATCAGAATCTTTAGAAGCAGATAGTTTTAAAGTATGATCCATTGGTGTGTTGAGGGTTTGCAGCCCAAAAAACCAGTGTCAGTCAATATGTCTAAAGCATATTTTCTTTGACACATGTTAATACCTTTGTTAGAGTGAGCAAACTCTAATCCAAGAATATATTTTAAAGTACCCAGATCTTTTATGGTAAAACACTGATGTAAATGATTTTTGATGTTAGAAATTTGATCAATGTTGTTGCCAGTGATGATTATATCATCAACATAAACTAACAAAGCAATAAATGATGATGCTGAATGCAATGTAAATAAGGAACAGTCAGCCACAGACTGAGTAAAACCAAAATCAAGAAGACACTTAGTGAGTTTAGAGAACCATTGTCTAGAGGCTTGTTCCAGGCCATAAAGACTTTTATTCAATTTACAGACTAGAGTGCCATTATCTTTGCAATATCCAGGTGGGGTTTCATGTAAACTTCCTCATCTAAATCTCCATGAAGAAATGCATTATTAACATCAAGTTGTTGAATATGCCAATGCGTTATGGATGCCAATGCAACAAGAAATCTGACAGTAGTAATTTTTGCAACAGGTGAGAATGTTTCAAAATAGTCTATTCCTTCTTCTTGAGTATATCCTTTGGCAACTAACCTAGCTTTATATCTTTCTAGGCTGCCGTCAGATTTATATTTGACTTTGAAAACCCATTTACAATCAATGTAATGTTTGTCTTTAGGTAAATTGACCAAAGACCATGTGTTAGTGGATTCTAATGCATCTAATTCTTTTCTCATGGCTAGTTGCCATTGAGGATCCTTAGTAGCCTCAGAATATGACTTGGGTTCAGGAATTAAAGATATGGATGCAGTATAACATGAATGAGATGCAGACAGAGAATCAGTAGCCAGATAAGAAGAAATAGGATACTGTGATGTGCCAGATGTGCCATTTGAGGAGGTGGCAGAAGATAAAGAGTGATGATATATATCCAAATAAGCAGGTGGTTTGGATTGTCTGGTTGACCTTCTAGTAGGTTGAGGAGGTTGTGAAGGTTCAGTATTGGAGGATACTGTTTGAGGTAGAGTATCTGTGGTATTGATAATTGTAGGAGAAGACTGATTTGTTATATTTATTGGAGAGTGAGAAGTATCATGGAATGTAGACTGTGAGGGAATGGACTGAGATATGAGTGGATCATTAGTAAATATATATGAAGGTGGTGAGGGGAAAATTTTATCAGAGGGAGAAGAAGTATTACTGATTGTAAAAAGTAGAAAATCCTCATAGAATTGCACATGTCTGGATATCAATATTTTCTTGGTATTGAGGTTGTAGAGTTTATATCCCTTACAACCTAATGGATATCCAAGAAGTATGCATTTTTGTGCCCTTGGGTCAAATTTATGTCTATTGGCATGCAAAGTGGATGCATAACATAGGCAACCTATGACTCTGAGATGAGTATATGAAGGTGCTTAGTTAAAAAATAGTTCAAAGGGAGATTTGTTTTGGAGAACTTGAGATGGAACTCTGTTTATAATGTGTGCAGCAGCCATAATGCAATCTATCCAAAAAATGAGTGGTAACTGAGCATGAAATAAAATGGCTCTAGCAACTTGTAAGAGATGCTGGTGTTTTCTTTCTACTCTCCCATTTTGTTGGGGAGTCTCAACACAGCTTGTTTGATGTAGTATGCCATGATTTGTATAAAAGTCATGTAAAAGAAATTCAGATCCATTATCAGACCTGATGACTTTAATTTGTTTTTGAAATTGAGTTGAAACCATGTTATAGAACTTCAGCAAACTATTTTTAGTATCAGATTTGTTTTTAAGGGGAAAAATCCAAGTAGTTCTGCTGAAGTCATCAACTATTGTTAAGAAATATTTGTAGCCTTCATGAGAAGGAGTAGAAAAGGGACCCCAAAGGTCACAATGTACAAGATCAAATGCATGTGCAGAATGAGAAGTACTAAGAGGAAATGATAATTTTTTCTGTCTTGCAAAATGACAAACATCACATGGTATGGATTGCAAATGTTTACAATTGATATCAGGAATAGGTAACTGCACAAGTTTAGAGTAAGAAAGATGGCCCAATCTGTTATGCCAGATAGTACTGTTCAGAGAGCTATGCTTTACAGGTAAAGAAGTGTTTACAGGTAAAGAACTGTTTACAGGTAAAGAACATGAACTAGTTACATGATCAGTCAGGTATAGTGTGTCAGGAGAAGCATCAAGAGAAAGATGATAGAGGCCATCTTTTAATTCAGCAGAACCAATCATTTTGTGTGTTGTCAAGTCCTGTAAAATGCATGATTATGACAAAAATTGAACAACACAATTGTTGGTTGAAACCAGTTTTGAGACTGATATCAGGTTAAAACTGAAACTAGGCACAAACAGAGCATCATGTAATGTAATATTAGATGACAACTGTATGAGTCCTATTGAGCAAGCATCAGTAGTATGACCATTTGGTAAATTGATATGAACATTTTTGATAGGTCTATTAGTCTGAAAGTAAGATGCATCACATATCATATGATCAGTTGCCCTTGTGTCCAAGATCCATGTATTTTTATCTAGAGTCCTATATGCTAAACATGAATAAGGTGTAGAGATACCTGACAGCTCTTGAACAGCAGTAGCAACTGTGGGGTTCTGCTTTGTTTGCTGTGACTCTTGAGATCTTTTGAATGCTAAAAACTCATGAAAGAGCTCATTAGTCATGGAAGATACATCAGAGTTATTAGTAGTAACAATATCAGGAGTAGTGGATGCATTAGCAATGTTGGCTGAAGGGCTAGGATGCTTAGGGTGGATTCGAGGTCCTCTTGGGCCAACCCAGTCAGGTGGATAACCATAAACTTGGTAACACTTATCAGATGGGTGAGGATAGCCACAATGGATGCATTTAGGCCTTGGCTTTTTATCTTTGTTATATGGTTTTTGGTATTTTTGGTTTGTAGAAGTAGTTTTGGCCAACATTGCCATGGGATCAGTATGGGAAGTAGTATTGTTTAAGGACCTTTGGGACTCCTCTTGAAGTAACAGTGAATAGATTTTGGTGAGGTTAGGCAAGGGTGAAGAGAGCAAGAAATGGCTTCTGAGGGAAGCATATGAATCGTTCAGCTCAATCAAAAATTTCATCACACAATCTTGCTGCTGAGATGCAGCCATAGACTCAAAAATATTACAAGTGCAAGTGTTAAAAGCCCCACAATGACACCGAAAAATAGGACGGTAAGTAATATATTCATCCCAGAGACCTTTAAAACTGTTATAATACAGTGTAACAGACATAGAACCCTGATCCATCGTGCTGAGAGATTTTTCCAATTGAAAGACTCTAGGACCAGTACTGACAGCGTAACGATTTTTAAGCTCATCCCATACATCCTTAGCAGTATTAAAAAACAACAGTGACTGTCTTATGTCTTTAGAAACAGAATTAAGGAGCCATGACAGTACTAAATTGTTAGCCCTAACCCAAGAGACATAGAGATTAGGGTTACTAGTAGGAGAAGGGGAAATCAGAGTACCGTCGACGAAACCTCCCTTGTTTTTGACACTCAAAGCCATGAGAACTGCGCGCGACCAGGAAACATAGTTCTCGCCATTGAAAGGATCGGCGATGATAATCGCGCCTGGATTATCGCTGGCGTGGAGAAAATAGGGGGATGTCGGATCGTCGGTCGGATTGACGGCAGTAGACATGTCGATAATCAGTAGATCTAGGATGTGTAGATCAAATACAAAACAGAATCTCGGAGATTGAGATCGAAGGGATTTCATAGATCGAAAAACCCTAAAAAAATTGAAAGAATCGATGAAAATTGATAAAATCTCAGAGAGGGAGACTGAATCGATCAATAAAAGTGGAGTGCGGAAGCGAAAAACACAAGATCGTTGGTGAATGATACCATATTAGAATCAAAATTATAGATTTGATATGAATCTGACACAAGAACACGAGAGAAAAGGAAAGAGAAAAGGAAAGCTTCGATATTGTATTGAAAGAGAGGAAAAACAAAAAGTGTCTGAGAACATGGAGGTACAAGGTATTTATACCTAGGGTTACATGAGGATAGAAAAGTAAAATTACAATCACCTATAGTTGCTGTTTATAAAACAACAACTTTAACATTAATTCTATAATAACAACTTATAAAACAATTTATAATCTTATTAGTAGTCAATTGCCAAATCCAGAAATTCCAATTTCGACGTGCTGGCTGTAGCTGCAATCTTAGACGCACCGAATGATGAATGACCCAACACCACCAGCTCCACCGAGAAAAGGTAATGATTTGCCCTTAGAAAAACCGTACTTTTCGAGCTCTTCATAAGCTGTCTCAAGGGCAAGAGGCAAGGCAGCGGCTGGCACAAAATCGAGATTCTTGGGCTTATGAGCTAAAAGCTTCTCTTGAGCAGTTGTGTACTCGGCTAAGGAGCCGAGCTGTTTCGGCTCGGCAATTGCCTTCTTGATAATGTCACCATAAACTTCGTCTCCTTCTTTAAATTCCTTCACATTGCTCCCTACTTTAACTACAATGCCAGCCACATCATAGCTGGGAACAGTCTGCAAATAACAAATAAATAAATTGAAATGCACAAAGCACAATTGCCACTTCAATATTTACAGGGGAAGAACATCACTAAGAAAAAGAAGATAAAGAAATGCAAATGATAAGAGACTTCATTTTTTTCCTAAGAAAATTTGAATACATGAACAAGAATGACCGTGGCTTTACTTCTGTACACATTCGAGCAACAACTCAAGAATCCAAAACAAGAATTAAATTGGGTTATGAATAGATTGGTTTTTTTCAAAGCAACTTGACCAACCCACTTGAGTTTTGCTCAAAAGCTACGATTTTTCGGCCAATTTCTAACCCCAAATCGAAACATTTTGTACATGTTTCCAAATCACTACTTGATATTTGAGCATCATCCAATGTACTATCAACAGATCCAATTTTTCGGCCAATTACCAAACTAAATCGAAACATTCCCAACATGTTTTACCAGCAATTACATCAGAAAACACTAAAGAACACAAACGCCCCATGAATTTAATGAAAAAATTGGAACTTGACTATATTTTAATCCACGAGTTGCAGGCTAGCAGCAAACACATGCCCAAGAAATTCAAAAACAAAGAATAAATAAATAAATTATGTGGTTAAGCTCAAGATATGTCGATTCCATACCATTTACACGACATTAATTAGAGGAGACAAAAAAATCTATTAAAAGAGGGAATCAAAAGAGAATAATAAACGGGAAACGCTACAGTCCCGTTACGTAACCATTTCGTCGAAATTTGTAACCGTTAGATTATAATGCAATCGTCACAGATAGTTAATCTAACGATTACAACCCGACAGAATAATTTCGTAATGGGACCATAAAATCTCCCAACATATATCCAAACATGAAACACCCAAATTAAACATAATATTTTATATTGTTTCCATTAAACCAACATCAAACACACACCCAAAATATATTTGTTTAATCACAATCACTCCAAACCCTATATCTTTCTCAATCAACCAACTCCCATATATCATATATATATCTTCACATTTTATTTAATTTTCTTAATCACACCAAACACTATATATATATATAACTTTCTCAATCAACCCATTTCCAAAATACCAAACACTCCGAAACACACATCCAAACACACCTAATTCACTCCCTTAACACACTTATCCCCTTCACAAACCCACGCTTCACCACCACCATTCTTCTTCTCCATAGCCCCACACTTTGGGTGAAGATCGAAATCACATTCCTCGCAATAATACGACCAAACGCGCCCTTCCTCTCCACACCCGTCGCAGTTGAACTCCAAACGCTTGCTAAGAACAAGATCGTGATCGTGAAGTCCCCTTCCGGGCTCGATTTTCTCGGGCCACCCTCCTTCCTCTGCCATCTTCTCGTACTCTTGCTCTATCTCCTTCACCCGCTCGTCCGTAAAGGGATAAGCTTTCGACCCGTGGACCATTATAAGCCCGCGGGCCTCAGTCGAGACGGTTTTTCCATCCGGCCCGATTGCGACCAATGTAGGGATGCCTCGGACTCTAAAGTAGCGGCTGAGAGACTCCTTTCGCGGGTCGCCAAACGGGATTGCGGGCCACGGCATGGAAGAGAAGTATTCGTCGAACGAGGCTTGGTCCCGATCGCTCGAGAAGAAGACAATCTCGAGCGGGCTTTTGTTCGACATTAGGTCTTGGTAGGTTTGGATGAGTTTTGGGAGGAAGGCACGGCACGGGGGGCACCAGTGGGCCGAGAAGTAGAGGAGTACGGTTTTGCCGATGAGATCCGAGACCGGAATCTGTGGAGACAGAGAAATTTCAAACAAGCCCCAGATGTTTAGCGTAAATCAGGAAATAGCCTAGTCGTTTTTTCAAATTTGTAGATGACCCCCTCGTGTTTTAGTCTTACGTACATTCTCAAGAAGGGATTGTTTCTACTGTAAATACAAATCTCAAGGGCTTATTTGTAATCTAAAAAGGATAGTCGATCTTTTTTCTTTTTATGGGTTAACACTCAACAGACCAATAACAAAAAGAGTAGTTGGGTGCTATCGTATATAAGCTATACTTCAGGGACAATTATGCGATTAAGACAAAAAATGAACAAAACACGGTAATCTTTCGAAAAAAAGCTCACCTTGACCCCATCTTTTCCAATCACAAAATCGAGACCGCCCGAAACCAAAATGGACTCCAGTGTCTGTGCTTCCATTTTTACCCTTTCAATCTCTTCAAGCTCGGCAAATTTCTCGGGCGTGAAAGGGAAAGCTTTCAGTCCGTGTTCCTCGATAGCATCAGCCACGTTCGGATGGACAGTTTTCCCATCCGGCCCAATTGCGACAACTGTCGGGAGCTCATCGAGCTCGAAATGTCGGACGAGCTTCGAACGACATTTGTCATTCATGGGCAACGAAAGCCAAGGCAGTTGATTGAAAAGTTGCATGAAAGATTGCTCATCATTATCGAGGGGTACCATCACAATTTCATAGTTCTCACCAACTTTTTTCAAGCCCTCATAAGTTTCGACTAGCTTCTGGTTGAAAGATAAGCAACTTTTGTAAGTGGACAATATGAAGTACAAGCCGATAGTTTTGCCTTCCAGCTCAGGAATTCGAACCTGTATAATAGCGCAAGAGATTGATTATATGATAGCACGTAAATTCTCAAACTTGAAATGAACAAAAAAAAAAAAAGAACGAACCTTCTCCCCATCAGATTTAATCACATAGTCTCTCGACCCGTATGCAAGCAATGACTTAAGTGATTGGTTCTTCCTAGCTTCAAATTCTTGTAATTTGAGCTGCTCGATCTTTTCGGAGTTAAAAGGGTACCCTTCTGAACCGTATTCTTGAATTATTCGTACACCTTCCTCAGACAATAATTTCCCACTGTCATCCAAAAACACGAGATGAGGTATCCCATCGACACTAAACGTCTCGTCCAGTTTTTCACGTGTCTTTGTATCGGAAAACGGGACTGCAAGCCAGGGCATTTTAGAGAAATAAGAGTTAAATGACTCGTCATCTTGGTTGGCAGATATGAAGATGACCTCAAATTTGTCAGCTTGTTTGAGTTCATTGTAGGCCTCGACTAAATTTGGGGTGAACCCCTGGCATGGCCCGCACCATGATGCGGAGAAATACAGCCCAACTGTTTTCCCCTTCAATTTATTAATTTTAACCTAGCAGAGAAAAAAAATAAATAAATAAATCAAATTAACAGATTTTTCTGCATGTTTTTGCTCATTTGATGGGTTAAAAAGCCAACAAGTAAGCAATGACATTGAGACTTGAGTATACACCTCCGTTTGATTTTCGAAAATAGGGTCAAATGTTTTAATCAACATATGTAACCATGAATTTCATTCTCCCTCAGCAGCTTTACGGATTTAAGAGCAAAAGGTGGAGATTTTGGAATAAAACAGAAAGGAGATATTATTAAGTCCTAATTCGACGTAACTGATTTCGAACCTCGGTTTAGCTTACACTTCAGCTAAAATCTCGGTTCGAAATCAGTTTCATCAAATGTAACTGATTATTAAGTCAGGCACTCGGTGTACCTTACTCAGCTACACTTAGCATCATTAAACAAAATAGCCATAGCAACCAAACAAAATTTCAAACTTTTTTACAAAGTTTTTACAATTACGTCAATCAAAACAAGTTACACCTAGCATCACCAATCAAAACAACAAGAACAGCCAAACAAAAATTCAATCTTTTACAATATTGTTAACTGCTGTAATCGATTCTGAAGCTCGGCCTAGCTTACACTTTAGTAGCATCAAACATAATAATGAGAAAAACCAAACAAAAATTTAATCTTTTTACAATTATGTGAGCTTCTGTAATCGATTGTGAAGCTCAGTCTAGCTTAAACTTAGCATCCACAAACAAAATAACGAGAACAGCAAAACAAAAATTCAATCTTTTTACAATACTGTTAACTGCTGCAATCGATTCTAAAGCTCGGCCTAGCTTACACTTAGTAGCATCAAACATAATAATGAGAAAAACCAACCAAAAATTCAATTTTTTTACAATTATGTTAGCTTCTGTAATCGATTGCGAAGCTCGTCTAGCTTAAACTTAGCGCATCCACAAACAAAACAACGAGAACAGCAACATAAAAATTCAATTTTTTTTACAATTACGTCGAAGCCCAAAAATGTTTCAGCTGCAATGCCCCATCTAAAGAAGTGAAACAAATCAACAAATAACAACGGATAAACAAAGACCAAAAGGTAAAACAAGAACGCATATTATTAACTGAACTTCACATACAAATCCCACGAATGCAGCCTTGAAATCAAGAACAAAAAACAATCTAACAAAACCCAATACCCCTATAAAATTATAAACCCTCTCATAAACCCTTAAGACACAGCTAATCGAAGAACAAATGCAAATATACCACAAGCACAAATTTCTAACCTCAGGACAACATTTGAAAAAAAAAAAAAAAAAAAATCAATCTCACAAGAACAAATTGCAAAATACCTGGTCACCATTGTTGCGAATAAGGTAATCCCTGTCTGCTGAGCGCAGGATAGAACTGAGATCGTATTTGGCTTCTTCATTAATCACCTCGACGCTCGCATTAGATGGGCTTGCCATTAAGCACAACAGAAATCTTAATATAAACACAAAAGATGAAAGAAAAAATGAATCTTGATAGTTACAATGGAGTAAACATGGAAGTTAATTTTTCAGAAGGGGCTATTTATATTAGAAAGGGACTAATGAAATTGGGTTGATCTTTTTTCTTGTGGAGCAATTAAACTAATGGAAGTCAAGAAAAGCGGCCGCCATTATAAGATACTGCTTAAATCTTGAGTATGGAGAATGGTGATTTGAGCTTTGAAGTGTGAATTGGTATTATATGGACTTGGCAATTTTACTTATTTTTTTGAGAAGAAAAAAAAAAAAAGACTTAGTAAATATAAGATGCTTTAAATTTCTTTGTCTTCCTATGTAAGATGATAATCCTTCCTATTCTTTTTATTTCTCATTTTGGCTTTGTTGATCATTAATCAAATAAACGATGTTTTGAATATCATATACATATTTTTTTATTATTACTCTTATTTAATTGATAAACTACATATCTATATCTATATCTATATATATATATTAAAAGTCAACCTATTTACCAAAAATAATAGTAAGAAAAGTCAACACACATTTAATGCAAACCTTATTTGGAAATTTTTTACTATATGCATTAAATGCTTGCATATTTACATTTACTATCTAGATATGATCTTAAAGATTTTTTCCTTAAATAATTTATGCAATGATTTTACTGATATACATTATAATTAATATTTGTCGAGTAATATTTTTAACCTTTATTTAATTATATAAAAGTAGTATTTTTTAAAAAATATTAATATTATTTATCATTTAAAAGATAATGATCACATCATTAAATGATTTTATTAATGGTTAGATAATAAAATTATATTAGTTATTTGTTATCGTCCGACTCGGCAAATCACCATTAAGAGGTTTTCAACATCATACTAAGTGCTGCTAAATATCGAACCGACGTGATCCATAACCACATCGGTCCACGCAATGAGAAAGACCGAAGTGGTCTATACCAACCGAGGTTTACTTGAACCGAGGTCGTCACCTCCTTAAGTAGGTGACAAGGCGCCTACCCACTCCTTTCACGCTCTACGAGGCTCGTCATCATTCACATGGGGCCCGCTGCTCCAAACCGCCCACCAAAAGCTACTTTATGCGAAAAGTAGTATACGAAATCCAATGTAGCCATCAAAAAAGTTACTATAAATAGACCACCCATAACACTTGTACGGGGACCCCCCCCCCCCNNNCCCCCGAATTCATTGATATGCAACACGTAAAAGCCCATCACGGCTCTTCACCTCGGTTCACCTCGGACCGGGGCCACTGTTAAGTTATTTCGACATGCTTTACGTTCAAATTGTTCTTAATTATCATCTTAATCAATAGGTGAATCGTTGTTAGAAATCACATAACAACAGTTTGGCGCTAGAAGGAGGGCCTCATAAGTGATTTGAGGTTACTCTCTGTTTGTATCCATAGCGATTCATACCAGCCATATCCATCATGTCTCACTCTGATCATCGTGGCTACACTTCACGCGACGGTCACAGCCGTAGCGCCGCTCAATCCGCCAGGCGACAAACCGCGGCCGCGCCTGTGCCGGATTACGCTGTCCTGTTTCAAAATCCAGAGTTTGCCCGTGGTTTTGCCGCTCTAATGGCTCAAACGATCCCGGGAACTTCAACTACTGCTCCGGGACACTCCATCATTCCCACGACTCCCGCAAACCAGCAGAATCCACCGGTGCGACAAGACGGCGGAAAAACAACATCACATGGTACATCTCAGCCTCGTGACCGAATGTCGCAACCGCCCCCGAAACAAACTACGCGTCATACCGACGTTAGACGTAATCCCCTCACACTTCCTCATGAAGAAACTACCGAGAGCCAGTCCGGTCATTCACGGCGATCACCGCCTCACGCGCAGCGCCGAAACCCCTCCAACCCGGCTCATACCGACCTTCGGCAGCACATAGAACGGAATCGGGCTCGTCAAGAGTCATCCGAACTCGAGACGCTGCGACGAAGAATCGCCGAATTGGAGAGCCGGCAACGAGTACCCGAAGATCCACCTCGGCGTGCCTCAACTTCGGCGCAAGTGTATTTGGAAGCTGATTCTCCCCTCACTCTGGAGCTCACCTCGGAACCTGTGCCTGGGAAAGTCAAAGTCCCTCAAATTGGACTATATGACGGAACTTCGGATCCTGACTCGCACCTCGGTCATTATACTTCTTGGATGGATCTGCATGGGGCCTCAGACGCACTTCGGTGTCGTATGTTTTCGCTTACACTGGGGCCTCGAGCCCAAAAATGGTATCACTCTCTTCCTCCTCACTCTATTTGGAAGTGGCAACAATTAAGGTCGGCTTTCCGATCTCATTTCATCGGGGCTCAAGTATGTTTAATCCCAAAAGAATCTCTTGCGAATGTCACTCAAAATGATGATGAAAGTGTCAAAGATTATATTGCCCGATTTAATGACCGAGTTCAAAATATGGAACCTTGTCATCCTGAAACTCTGCTAGTCATGGCTATCGCTGGATTAAAACCGAATTCAATTTTCCGCTGGACTCTGTGCCAAAATAAACCGAACACTTTTCAAGAATTTCTCGCTCGAGCTCAACAACATATTATAGCTGAAGAAGCCATGTCGGTCCCCGACTTTAACTTTAACCCGAAGTCATCTAGGACGGGAACCGACGAGAAGAAGAAGATTAATAAATATTTTGAAAAACAAGGCAAGACTCAGTTCAGGGGACCTCCCCGGGGAGACCCCAACGATCCTGAAGTTCGAGCGGCTTGAAAACAGTATCCGACCGACGTAAAGTCCGGTTATCAAACCGTATACTCTGCAGGGGCAGCTACCATATATGAAGTAATCAAAGGAAAAGGCATTCTGCCAGATCCCAAACCACTTCGGATGCCCGAAGAAAAACTGGACAAATCTCGGTATTGTGATTATCACAAATCGCCAGGGCACAACACGGACGAGTGTTTAAGTTTGTTAGCCGCATTGTTGCGTTTGATTGGCCATCCGCAACTTAGAAAGTTTTACCGTAATGCTGACCCCCAGAGGCGAGGTCCAGGACGTCAGATCGAATCCTTTGATGAAGATGATGAAGAGGACCGAGGTGCCACGCCGAAACGTATCCGACAATGAGACAAGGAAGTGTATATGTTCATCTCGGAAACATCCGATTCTAACTCAGCCAGAACTCCCCGAAGTCGTAAACGAGATCGATCTCCTATACCGATGCAAATTACTGTCCATCGCGTCAACACCAATAATTCCCGGGGTACGTTATCCCGACGACAGGTCAAGGCTTATGCCCGACAAGCGCACAACTCCGAGAAACAGGTTTACACTACCGATTTGAGAGATATCCTCAATAATCGGAATTGTCCCATAACCTTTAATATGGAGGATGCTAATCACTTCGCCCATCCTCACTCCGACGCACTTGTTATCACTATCCCTATATGCGGGATTCCGGTTCATCGCGTCATGGTAGATACTGGGGCCTATTCGAGCATTCTGATGTTATAGGCTTTTGACAAAATGGGTCTCGATCCCGCTGAGATTCGACCTTGCAATGATCAAATACAAGGGTTTAACGGAAGCATTTCAAAGCCCGTCGGCGAGATCACTTTACCTG